AGCGTATAGTGGTATAATCCCCACTGATGGATATGTAGTTCCTTAGAGGTAAGTCTCACAGCATCCAGAAGAATATGAGATAGTAAAACATAAAAAGTAAACAATAGTGCTTACTGTGTGAAACCAAAAACAGGTAAAAATATAAATGGTAATTTACTCACATTTAGTAGAGCAGTAACACCACTCAAGAGATAGCACTTAGGTGGTATGATCCCCACCAAGGATATAATGTTGAGTAGATTTTCCTGTGGGAAGTCTTTGCTAGGGATTGGGTGTAGAATGGTGTAGATACTTCAGGACTTTTTAAATGTGCCAGGAACAATATAAAACAATAAAAGTAATAAAAAGCATAAAAAGTATAATAAATGGTCTTGCACTATAAAATAGCCAAATAAACGTTAATGCTTAAAAACAATATTAAAACACACACACACACACACAACACGTTTCGCCAAACAAGTGTACTTGATTTTGTATTTCTTATTTAAATGGGAGATTATCTACAGTAAGTGCAGTTCCAGTCACCCATATATCATTTCATTATCGCATAACAGAGAATTAAGATTAGTTGCTATTTGCTCTTCATTAACACTGTTATACTCCCAGATTATGACAAGGTCTGCTCGTGGTTTAAATTATTCAAGAACATTTCATGCAAATTGCCCGCGGGAATCACATAGTTATCCTGGACCCTGCTTCTTATCTAATAGGATTGGATGATTGTCACAACAAAAACAAAATGTGACTCCTCTATTTTATTTAATCATGTAACAAAGTGAATAAAATAAATGTTATGTACAACATAAATAGTATTTATGTATACTGATGCTGATTAAATCCAAATTAATCAACGCAAGCACTTTAAAACAGGTATAGTATGTATTTATTAAATATTCTCTTACAATCACAGAGCAGACAAAAAAAAAACAGCCAGAAATTCAAAATTAGCAAGGGAAAATAAAATGTTACATAATAAAACCAATATTTGTGTTAATAGAGTTGCAAGCAAGCAGTGAAATAGAACCATAGGGTGTGACAGCAGATAAGAACAATACGGCCCATCTAGTCTGCCCAATTTTCTAAATACTTTCATTAGTCCTTGACCTTATCTTAAGTCTAGGCATAGGTGTGCGCAGCACAAACACACACGCCGCGTATATATATATATATATATATATATATATATATATATATATACATATACATACATACATACATACAAACATACACACACATACATATACATAGGCGGCGCGTGTGTTTGTACTTTAGGGCATGTGTTTGTGCTTTATATACATATACATACATACACACTGCTGTGTGTGTGTGAGGGTGGTGTGTGGGCGCTGTGTGTGGGCGCTGTATATGTGTGTGAGGGCGCTGTGTGCATGTCAGTGCGCGGTGTGAGTGTAAGGGTGCTGTGTGTGAGGGTGCTGTGTGTGAGGGTGCTGTTTGTGTGTGTGTAAGGGTGCTGTGTGTGAGGGTGCTGTTAGTGTGTGTGAGGGTGTGTGTGTGTATGTGTGGGGTGCTGTGTGGGGTGCTGTGTGTGAGGGTGTTGTTAGTGTGTGTGTGTAAGGGGTGCTGTGTGTGAGGGTGTTGTTGTGTGTGTGTAAGGGTGCTGTGTCTGTAAGGGTGCTGTGTGTGAGGGTGTTGTTAGTGTGTGTGTATGGGTGCTGTGTGTGTGAGAGCACTGTGTGTAAGGGTGCTGTGTGTGTATGAGTGTGTGTGGGCGCTATGTGTGTGTGTGGGCGCTGTGTGCATGTGAGTGTGCTGTGTGAGTGTAAGGGTGCTGTTTGTGTGAGGGTGGTGTGTGTGTAAGGGTGCTGTGTGTATGTGAGGGTGATTTTAGACTGTGTGTGTGTGAGGGTGCTGTTAGTGTGTGTGTGTATGTGTGTGAGGGTGCTGTGTGTGTAAGGATGCTGTGTGTGTGAGGGCATTGTGTTTGTATGAGGGTGCTGTTAGTGTGTGTGTGTGTGTGTGGGCGTTGTGTGTGAGGGTGCTGTGTGCATGTGAGTGCGCTGTGTGAGTGTAAGGGTGCTGTGTGTGTGAGGGTGGTGTGTGTAAGGGTGGTGTGATGTCTGTGTGTATGTGTAAGGGTGATGCATGTGTGGGTGCTGTATGTGTAAGGGTGCTGTTAGTGTGTGTGTGCTGTTTGTGTAAGGGTGCTGTATGTGTGAGGGTGCTGTATGTGTGAGGGTGCTGTGTAAGGGTGCTGTGCGTGTGTGGGTGCTGTTTGTGTCTATTGTGTGGGGGTGGAGGGACCATTTAGTTAATAGCCCCCCTCCCTTCCAACCTTTTGCAATGAGGGGGACCATGCTGCTGCTATCCTTGGTGGTCCAGTGGTGAATGAACTCTAACCTGCAGGGCTAGAGTTCACACTCGCAAGGTCTGAGCGATGCCGCAGCAACGCTCCGACCTCGCAAGAGGAACCCGGCGGAGCTGCTGGCTAGAGCTCCCCGGGTCCTCTCCTCCCTCCCTGCGGGCCGGTGAAGGCCGTGGGGATTAGGGTGTGCCCAGGCACACCCGGCACACCCTGTGTGCTTGCCTATGAGTCTAGGATAACCTTATGCCTATCCCCCACATGCTTAAACTACTTTACTGTGTTAACCTCTACCACTTCAACTTAACCTCTACCACTTCCAATACCCTCTGTGTACAGTAATACTTCCTGATATTATTTTTAAACCTTTGCCCCTCTAATTTAAGACTATGTCCTCTTGTTGTGGCAGTTTCCAGCAGTGAATAAACAGATAAACCAGAATTCGCGACAATGTGCTCAGATAGAGAAAGTTTGGGGGTGACCTACATGAAGTCCAGTACAAGGACTGAGATCATCCTCAGTATAGAAGCATGATAACTGGGCTGGTTCTATGACTTGGCTGTGTTTATGTACCTTTTTGTTGCAATACAATGATGCGTGCTAAAAAGAAAAAAAAAACTAAACCTGTCTTCTGAATTTGCATTATGGAAAGACATAATTAATATGGACAAGCTCAATGTTTCAAATGTCATGTCATAGAAATGAAGAGCTGTGAGGGCATCTATATACAAATGTAATCTGGTTTTTTTTCTGATTTTTTACTACTGAGCATGCAAACTACAAGACCAACCTTGCTCTCCCTGATGTATAACCGTGCAACACATATTCATAACCTGGACTTGTAAAAAGGCTGAAGCACGGGTTCAGACATGACATCACATGCATACAATATGAAGCCTGTCGTGTACGCTTGCCTCTAAGGCTGCTATTGCAACTATACTGACAATGCCACAAACGTTCCCCAGACACATTACAATAAAATACAATTAACCTGTTAGGGCAGCGGGCTACCCACTCAGATGGATTTTAAGGGCTTGGTAGAATAAAACATCCGCTGACAACCTGCGCTGTCTACTCTGCAAACCCATTTGAGAAGTTATTTTTTTAAACTCTGTTCAGTTTAAAGAAAAAGTTACAAGTTGGTTTTGTGATATTCTGTAACTTTGCACATTATTTGTTTAAATTGTTACATGATCACCGCAAAAGAATTTTGGGAATCGGAAATTAATTCAAATTCTCCTAAAATGTGACAATTCATACTTGATTTTTTTTATCTTGTATGTATATAAACCATACCTCCCAAAATTGAGATTTTGGAACTATGACCAGATTGGGGGGATAGGTCTAATGAGTGTGTCAGTGATATGACTGGTGTCATTAATTATTTCCAAAGGGTGGGTTCATCCAAAATGGGACATGTCAGCCCAGTATGATTGCACACCGAGTTGACTAGTCAATGTTCTGGCCCGCACACTGAGGGCTGAATATGCGCAGAATATTGATAAAGTGTGCCCATTGTGCCACATGGGGAGTTGGTCCCCAGATATAGATCACCAAGGAACAACAAATTAAAAAAAAAAGGATCAGTAGAATAAACAAAACCATTGTTACAAAAATAGTTGTAAACAGAGGTGTTACCAGCACTGTGTTGTGTTGCTGGGTAACATAATTTGGGAAAGATGTACCAAACCTTTTTTGTTTTTGTTTTTTAGAGAAATGTATTAAATCTGCTTGTTTTTGTCAACTGCTACTTATGCACAATGATTCTCATATTTGAATGTACAATTTCTTTTGAAATGTATCAATCTTTTCGTCACTTTTCCTCATCTCTTTGTTTTCACTTTTTTTCCGCAACTCCAAATTCAAGGCTCTTTTATGAAATTATATTTCTGTGAAAAACGACAGCATGTAGGCACTGTTTACATGATTTTTACAATTTAATACATACCAACAAATTAGACACTACAAACAAAAGACACCTTTCAGAACACTGATAGATCGCCCCCTTTGTCTCCATAAATGTAACCGTTTGAGAACACACTCCATAATTAAAGTGACCAACAGACCTTCACATTTGTAAATAAAAGCCAGGAGACAGCTCCTTAAAAAATACCTGAGCATGTTTCACGCCCATAGGGTACTTACTCATACAGAGACAATGTCTGCGTGTGAGTATGAACCCTCTGGCTTTCATCTACATGTGCTTTGTTCCTATGTATTGATTTTTATTTAGATCAAAATAAAGGCTAAGTATTAATGGGGTTTTCTTTTGTTCCATTGGGCACTGTAATCATAGAATGTGTTTCCATGGAAACTTTACATTTACGGACACCAGAGAACAAACCCCAAATGAAAAGAAATGGATCTTGAATTCAGTATTGTCCCATCGACATTGGGACTGTTGGTAGATATGATAAACATGCATCCTTCACAGATTGAACTTGTAGTAATTTTGTCTCTATCTGCGGTTATTCTTCTTCAAACTCTTATAATGCACAGCAGCATCTGCAGGACGGTTGGATAAAATATTTTAACATGACTTGCTAGCTATATCTGTAATTTCCCCTGCAACCATTATCTTTATCGGAGTCGTTTTTCATACTGCTGTTCCTTTAAGGAGAGGGACAGTCTACGGAACTTAATGACAAGGAGCAGCTTTCGCAAAGGAACATTTTCCAGTTAAAGGATATTACACGACAATCATTTAACCTAATGATTCCCTCCTGTTCTTTGCCTTGTTCAGTACATGTAGCCTGCCAGTTCTCCCTGCCATTGTGACAAGTCTCAGCATGTTAGTTCGCCATCTCAAGGAGGCCTTGTGTGAAAAATCTGTTGAAATATCTTCCTTTGCACTCTCGCTTTTTAAAAAGATTAAACTCAGCTGCGGAAATGTTCAGTTAAAAGGACTGACGAGCACCAACATGCGCAATCCAATTAATCCCCTATATGTCTGTACGATACATTGCGAGCGTTTCTTTACAGCCGGCCTGTCCATATGATCTCTGGTTGACAATTTAGTTTGGGCTGTTGCTTGTAGGTTCCAATTACAAGTCATTAGCGTACGTGTGATGAGATTCTTTGCTTCAATAAGCTCCTGCCACGTGGAATCTGCAGTCTTATTTGCTCTTTAATTTTAATGAAGTGCTACTCCAATTTACATACAGATTGATTTTATTACTGCAAATATTTTAGTTCACATTAACATTGGACAATTACACTATACCTACCATTTATTAAACACGAGAATCTGACCTTGCCTTACATTACCATTCATTCCGTTAATATGAGCTTGTCAACATCGCTGCCAAGTAAAAGCTAAAATGGCAGCGAAAGTGTTGCACTCACCTAGAATTCAGTCCTTAAAGAGAAGGACGGGTCAAAATATAATAGTAATCTGAAATGTAGCTGTCAGCTGTGCCTTTATTTAAAAAAAAAACTTGCATTTGTGGCTGTTCAGGGAAAATCTGATGTCCCATGATTCCGTGTGAGATTGAGTTTCTCATTATTTTGGTCTTCAAGAATGTTTTGGGTGAGATTACTCCAGCAAAAATTAAATGAATGTGATTTAAAGACCTCAGGGTGCCTTAGCCTGTATTGGTTTGCTTAAAGATCCCCTAAACGTATCCAAACCACTTCATCTCAAATAAGTGGCCTTGTGAGATGTTTTCCTGGAGCTACTGCTCACAGAGACAGGAGACGTATCTGTAATATTGTTAACCGAGCAAAGCAGGAAGGGGAATTGGATGTACTTGTCCATCTAGGGACAAATGACTTGGCTTGCAATGAGGTTTCAGAGGTAAAGGAAGTTTTTAGTGTTTTTGCCAATGATATATACGGCAGATTGCTTCCACATTGTCAGTCTCTGAAGTTCTGCCTGGGCATAACACTCAGAACGACAGGTGGATGCGTATTAGGGACTTTAACTTGTGGCTTGGTAAATGGTG